TCTCTCCCTTCCGATTTGATTGCTCTCCCTTCAGATTTGGTCTCTGTGTCCTCACATTTGCTTCATTTATCCGATTTGCTTGCTCTCTCTTCGATAATTTGCGAAATTGCTTCAAATCTTGTGGAAATAGGTAAGTTTCGACTTAAATACTGTTATTCTGTGGGTTTTTTTCTTATTTTTGAGTTGTTTACTGTGTTTTGTGGAGAAAAATCGAGTCACATGAGATATTTGGACATATGAGGCATATGAGTTACATGGGTTACACAATCATATGAGTCATATATATCACATGGGTCACAGGTCACATGGGTCACGGGTCACATGGGTCACATGGGTCACGGGTCACATGGGTCACATGGGTCGAATTTATCGAATTAGTGACTTGTCATGGTTATGCAGTGATTAATCATGGATTTTAACATCAATAACAACTTCAAAATCTTGTTCGTTTCAATTTTCATATTCATTCTGGTAATGTGTCATTCGGTTTGTAATTTTTTTTTTATAGGTATAATGGATGTAATGGAGAGAACTACAATTATTTATTTTCTCTGTGAAGGAGAATGGATTGTGAATAAGAACGGAGAATATGAATGGAACGGGAGAGTTATGGACAACCAAAGATTGTTGTTCTTTTGTCCTCCAACTGAGGTAACATATGAACAACTTGTTGAAGAGTTATATTCTGAGATGGCAATAGATAAAGATAAAACGAAGATCAAACTAAGCTATTTACCGAATGTAAAAGAAAACAGAAAGCCCACATACCTTTTGAATGACAAGCATGTTCACATTTATCTCCTGAACAGAAAAGTGGAATGAGAGACATGCTTTATGTGGAGAAAGTACATGTATGTGTCAAAACAAAATGTGAAAAAGATATCGAGGATGAAGCTATAATACCTGCTTATGGAAGCGTTGTTAGAGGCGATGAGAATTGATGTGAGGTGGATTTTGATGATTGTGTGTTACAGAGCCCTGGTTTTAAGAGTAGAGTTGGGAGTAATGTGGTAGAAGTTATAGATATTTCAGATAGTGAACAGTCAAATGATTTAAGAGAATGTGGGACGAGTGGTTGGTGGTGATGGTGATGGTGATGGTGATGGTGATGGCGATGGTGAGGATGATAATAATTTGGCTTTGGTAGTGATTGAAGACTCATTGTTTTCTAATTCTATATTCACATTCAGTGAGGGATTGAATATAAGACCTGGCCCAGTAATATGTACGAAAGGGTGCAACACTGGGCCGTTTTAATTATATAACTGAGAAGTCTGATAAGAAATTATGGGAAGTAAGATGCAAATTTGCAAGATCGGGTTGTAAGTGAAAATTGCGCGTGGCAATGATCCAAAAGTCTAAACGTTTTAGTGTGAGAACACACGATCCAATTCATAGTTGCAAACCTGTATGTGAAACAAGCGATACCATGAAGGGTACATCAAAGCTGGTTAAATACTATTTGAAGGAAGAATATCCGGGTAAACTCGAGACGCCTACAGCAAGTGAATTAGTAGAACGCGTCAAAAGCAAGTATGGACTTATTGTGTCATATTTGATGGCATTAAGAGGCAAGCATAGTGCAGAAAGTGAGATTCGTGGTGATCCTTGTGACCATTACAGAAGGCTTCCAAAGTGGTTGCACATGTTGATCAAAAGAAATCTCGGGACGCATGCGAGTCTTAGCTTGGACGATGATGGCAGATTTAAATATGTCTTTATCGCTTTGAGTGCAGCTATAAAAGGACGGAAATATTTGCGTAAAGTGGTTGCCATTGACGCAACGTTTCTAATAGGGTCGTACAAGGGTGCATTGGTTGTTGCAACTGCACAAGATGGTGATCATCACCAATATCCTTTGGCTTGGGGTATAATCGATAGAGAAAAGGATGCATCATGGACATGGTTTATGGAAAGATTGAAAGATGCAGTACCAGATGGACCTGATGTCGTTGTGTTATCCGATCGGCATGGAACCATAATTAAGGCTGTTAGAGAAGTGTACAAGGAAGCTGACCACGATTTTTGTGTAAGACACCACACAAAATATAAAAGTCAAGGTTAATAAAGGCATGGGAAGAAAGAGTAATAGAGGTGAATCTGTCGCTTCACTATTCTACAAATGCGCAGAAGCTTATACGCTCAACGAGTTTGAAGAGCGGTTTAATGATTTGAAAGTCAGGTATGTTATCTGTGACCCATGTGACCCATATGACCTATGTGACCAATGTGACTGATACACGCACGGAGGAGGATGGGAGCAAGTCTGATCGCAATCAGTGTACGCACGGAAGAGGATGGAAGCAAGTCTGATCGCAATCACCGGCTCGCGTCTAGCGGCACTCGAACTCACGAACAAACGGGGATAATCGAAGGGGATTTACGGGAAACTCTCTCAATCACCGGCTCACTCAAGTGGCACTCGAATTCAAGAGAGAATCAGAGAATGGATGGTGGAAATGAAGGGGAAGATGGCGAGTATGGATTCGAACAAACCGAAGGGTGAGCCGGACACACCGAGCTCGAGAATTTCGGACAAACCGAAAGAGATTGTCGGACAAACCAACAAAGATAGGGAGAGAGTCTTGGCTCAATCTCAATTCGAAAATACTTTAATCAAAAGGATAAAATCTGATTACAAAAGAGTTCTAGGTAGTTTTTATAGGAAAACAATAATAAATGCAAGTCTTCATGCAAGGGAAGGAGCCTAATTGTCATTTAATAAGGTGGTTAGGAAGAAAATAGCTGTTGGAATTTAATGGACTAACGGGCTGGGCCTTGATTTGTTCTTGGGCTGAAATGGACAGCTCATGGGCTGGCTTGAAGTCATCTTTGAGTCCAATAGCTTTC